ACTCCTATCAATGTGAATGTTAACTTGTCAATGTGAATATTCACATTATCAAAGGGCCGGGCTGGGCCCGTCCCAGACCGCGGACGGGCTTTTGGCCGCCCATAGGCCACGGGCCAATTTTATACTCTTGTCAATGTGAATGTTAACATGTCAATGTGAATATTCACATTATCAACGGGTCGGGCCGGGCCCGCCCAGGGCAGCCCACGAGTCGCGGGCGGGTTTCGAGCTGGCCACAGGCCGCGGGCTAATTTTACACTCCTATCAATGTGAATGTTAACATGTCAATGTGAATATTCACATTGTCAACGGGCCGGGCCGGGCCCGCCCCAACCCGGGCCCGGGCTTCGGGCTATCCACTGGTCATGGGCCAATTTTACACTCTTGTCAATGTTAATATTAATGTTAATATGTCAATGTGAATAGTCATATTGTGAACGGGCCGGCCCCGAGCGACGGGCTTATTTCAGGCCACCCACGGGCCGCAGGCCAATTTTACATTCCTATCAATGTGAATGTTAACTTGTCAATGTGAATATTCATATTATCAACGGGCCAGGTCAGGCCTATTTTTTTGGCTTGTGGGCCGGCCCGGCCCGACTCGAATTTTTCCGGGCACCCACGAGGATCAACATGAGCCAGACCCCTACACATTGACGATATAAACATTTATATTGACGGTGTGAACATTCACATTAAGGGTATTTTGGTAATTATGTCACCAAAGCTCTTAGAAAATGGATTTATCAAAAAAGCTCTCTAAATGGAACATAAGTAGATGAAAAGGGTATTTTGGTCTTCTTATCTCAAATTGGACCTCATGGAATAGTCAAAAAGAATATGGGTTGAATGGAATAAAGCTCTTAGAAAATGGATTTATCAAAAAAGCTCCCTAAATTCCCTTTTAGCAAAAGAAACAAATAGTATCAATCGAGATTTCAATATGTTGACACACAACAAACTCTTTTAATGATTGATGTGAGATGGTAACATACCACCACACTTTGCAACTGATATCTACGGGACCTACTCTATCAACAGTTACCCAGTGACAACATTTTCCCTTCTGGCAGTTTCATTAAAATATTAGTATTCAACACTTTATAGGTAGCTAGCTTATCCAGTTTATAGATCGCCCTATCTGTGTCTCAAATTGCAAAGCAGCATTCATCTAATCCCATACTCGACATGGTAGCTAGTTATGACACCAAATGATACAAGCCACTCAGGTAGAATGCACCCCTTAAAAACTAATTTGGATTACCTAAGAAGTTTACATGTACATGGACAATGCCTTAGTTAATCACATACGATCGTAACTCAAAGGCGGCTACCCCTTTCAATCTAAGTCATACCAGACTAAGCCTATTTCAAGAAGGTTCAAACCCTCATTATACCGGTTATGGCTTCCAAACCTGAACACGTCCCTTTTTGTCTTCCCCCTTCTGCCCAACTTTCAAAAACAACGTTCAGATTTACATGTGTTAAGCATATAGCTAGCGTGGTCAACTCCACATCGAACAAGGGCGGGTTTTCAAGAAAAAGATACACTACTCATGACTAATTCCACATTGAACAAGGCTGGAAGAATTAACCCCGTGTCATCTACCTAGCAGCCCATGAGTTAATATACTCAGCCAAGTTGCTTTTAGACCGTCCTCAAAGATGACAAGCAAAAATAAAATTTTTAACTTATACTTGTAGTGGAGCACTTTGTTTAATTATAAAGACATGGGAGTTTTCTTTACACCTTTCATAGGTGTAGGAGAGGGTTCAAGCGTGGATCCGAACCCTTTCGAGGCTTAGAGCCATTTAGCCCGTTTGATGGTGATAAATCTGGTCTCGCCAGTCTTGGACTTGCGATAAATTCGGGCCCACTAATCTTGGGCTATTGGGCCTAAATAATTTAGTGGGCTCAAATTATTTACACCTTTCATAGGTAAACTGCTGTGGTGCTCTATGTATATTGTCTGTTTGCACATCACCGGTTATATAAAATTTAAATTATGAATTTCACAACTTTATGCTTATAGCAAAGACAAAGTAAGTTTTTCAAACTATCAAAACATGCTTGGATTTTGTTGAACATTTTTTGAAACAATAAAAACGTATATAGCTTAAAAAAAAATGTCAATACCAAATTAACTTAAGGTTATGCACAGACGCGATGAGAGATGATGGATTTAACCTCTATTTAAAGAAAAAAAAATCTGGACTGTTGCATAGGGGTAATTTGGGTATGAGAAAATGCATGACACAACTTCAAAATATGTTATGAATTGTGTGCCTTATATAATAGAATATAGAATATCCATATATAAACCAAAGCCCTGTCGTGATCTTTACCGCAAGTGGGAACATCAGCAGATGCCTACCATGAGATTCTTTAGTGCAAAAGCACCTAACCGATCCTCCAACAAATACTTTTCTCTCAAACAAAACCGTTCTTTATTAATTATTCCATTTAAACTACTAATTAAATTTTTGGTTTCAGACCAATTGCTCTCTCTCATTAGACCTAAGTCAGGTTTCAAACCAATAGCATGAGAGAGAGTCATCACTGACTTCCTTTCTCTCTCTAGAATGTTCCTTCTCATTCTAGAAATCTCAACATATAAATATAATATTGTATTAATATATATGAAGATTTTGGTTTGGGAAGCACATAAATAAGCTATTTACTGGCTTATTTAAGTTATATCACCTCTTTACTTTTTTGCACGTCTTTTCATAATAAGCAAAAAAGTCGAAAAATAAGCCATATCCAAACCACCACCTAGACAATCGACTTATTGTGTTGGTGGAGAGCAATTATATGAGGAGGACTTGGGTTCTCATTGTGTGTAAGAGTGAAACCAAACCGTGTGTGAGTGAGAAGAGTCATAAGGCTGTGTGTACTCAGCCTAGCGTCTAGGTGTTTGGTTGATGTGAGTGCATGGTGTGATGTGATATTAAAGTGACCAGCAAGATGTGTGCGCAACATTGAGATACAAACAAGTGTGAGAAGTGTTGTGTACAATTATCTTGTATATTTGAGTGTTATTAATAAAAATTGTATAATTTTTGGTTCCACTAGTATGTCAAACTCAACAAAGCATGGACTCAAGTTGTAAACATTTTACACCTTGTACCAATCAAAAAATGCTTTTGAAATAAACGCTAATGATTACTAGAGAATTTCTCCAAGGAAATGTCAAAGTTCAATGAACAAAATGCCACTATAATAATATGATAAAGAGAAAAGCATGGTCTACGAATGAATTAGTATTGATGAAACCTTTAGTTCGTTAGTAATTAATTAGAAAAAAAATATTTCACACTACAACTCTTTGTTCGCAAAGTCAAGGCGGTCATGAACTAGCTGGTACGCTCACTATAAAATAGCACATACCGTTGTTCAAATCATGCACTGCCAATCTTCTTTTTCTTTACTCTCTTTGTTTCTTCTCTGTTTTGTTCTACAATGGCCTTTTCTCAACTCTCTCTTTCGTTCGTGTTTGCAACTTTTCTTCTCTTGCAATCTCAAGGGGAAGCAGCAACGTGCAGCGACTGTTTCACTCATTCTCGAGCAGCTCACTATCCAAATTCTGATGAACATGGAACAGAAAGTGAGTGTTCAAACTCTACAAACATGCACACATAAAAGCATTAATATATATATAGACATAATTTGCTCTTTATTTACTGCTAAACTGCATCATGGTCTTAAATAGCATCCAATACGTGTTGATTTTTTAGCCTCCTGATACTGATACATCCTGGTATATATCGGTGGAAATGAAAATCGTATGCGTATTGGCCAATTAGCAATGCATATCAGTTCATAACCAATTCACGATCCAATTCACAACCAATACCACGGTTTACAATCAATAAGGCCAGTTTGGCTGCTATAACAGCTATTTTTTGAGGTTGATGATTTAAAGTTTTCATGACCTTGTTACCCGATTCTCGATCGATACAGTACACTGCGATTGATACTGATTTGTCTCCCAATAATGCTATTTAAACCTTTTAGCTGTATTGATCTTTGATTTAATTGCAGCTGGGAGATGTGGCTTTGGTACATTCGGAGCAACAATCAATGGTGGGGATGTATCAGCAGCATCTGATCTCTATCGTGATGGTGTAGGCTGTGGTGCTTGCTACCAGGTGATTATATAATGAGATTATTAAAGGAAAATAACACCCCCACCCCCCACCCCCCATAAATAAAAAAGAAGAAGAAGAAGAAACAAAGGTGTTTGACTTGATAGTTTTATAATTTTGTTTTGTTGTGTTAGAAGATTTTTATGCTTTTGCTTTATTGTGTCTGAAAGTTTTTAAATTAATCAAGAAGTTTCTTTGTGATCACTAGGTCAGGTGCACCAACAGTAACTATTGTTCAGACAAAGGTGTGACTGTAGTTGTAACTGACCATGGTTCGAGTGATCGAACTGACTTCATTCTGAGCCGGCGAGCCTTTGGTCGGATGGCTCAGACTACCAATGCAGCAGCATCTCTTCTAGACCTTGGTGTGGTTGATATTGAATATAGACGGTAATATTCATATGTCCATACTATATATTATATAAAGTCAATAGCTCCATTATTGTGAACAACAAAATAACACTGTCGCATATAATTTCCAAAGCCAAAACTTTTCAGATAAAAATTATTTTTCATATTTGTTTAAACTATTTCCATAGGTAACTGTATGGGAAATTATGTAAAAAAAACAGACTATAATGACTCCACATTACAATTTAGAGGAAGAACGATTTCCAATATCCATGAGAATAATTTTCATGTAGTACAATTTTCAAATGACCTCTTCCAATAGGGATTTTTTAATTTATTTTTATTATTATTATTATTTATGATAACAGCAAAATAAGATGGTATCTCCATGTTGGTTTTGATGTTTTGATACCAGGGGGTGGTGTCTGATGGAGTTTTCTTGGTTGTACTATTGCTTTTCATTTTTATAACAGTTTACTTTTTGCTGATGAAAAAAGAACAAAATATTTCGCCGACATGATTAAGTAATATAAAGAAGTCATTATTCCATAAAGTAGTTTACACTAATACACATTCATAATAAGCAGCTCTTTTACTTTTAATCATGGCCTAAAAGAATTCAAAGGTAGGCATACAAGATAATGATATTTACTTTCTGTCTCTCTCTCTCTCTCAGTGTGGCATGCAGCTACCCAAGCAAAAATATAACTTTCAAGATAGATGAGAATAGCAACTACCCTAATTACCTGGCTTTTGTCATATGGTATCAACAAGGCATAAAGGATATCACTGCTGTGCAGCTCTGCGAGGTAATTCCCATCCTATCAACATTTGAGCCGAGATGTCTTTCATTTAGAACCTAAAAGCCAAAACAAAAATAAAAAAATTCAACAAAAAAGACATTCATTAGCAAAACAACAAAATTAATAACAACCTATCTATTTCATTGCATATCCTGAATACACAACTTACCTTTATTTCAATATTGACTTTTTTAAAAATTTTGCAGACACAAAATCTTGTGTGCAAGCTATTGGATAGGAGTTATGGAGCAGTGTGGACAACTACATCTCCCCCAAGTGGTCCCCTGTCTATAAGGATGCTATTTAGCGGTGATGATGGTGATGAGACGTGGTTTATTTCGGTTAATAACATACCGGAAGATTGGAAACCTGGAAATACATATGACTCAGGAGTACAAGTGAACTAATGGTCAAACACATGGAAGACTCTGATGTTCATTGATTACATAATTATAGAACTGAAATAAACCCCTGTGGCTTTCCATTGGTTGTTCTTTTCATACGCTCACTAATCATTTTCTTTAGAAATTAGAATAAAGTAAACTTTGACAAGCTACCAATTATAATCATCGTATTGTTGACTAATAATATGAAAATTATCATAATAAACATTTGAATTTGCATTGAAATATTTTTAGACATGACTTGACCTTTACTACAGGAATATGTACTAATAACAATCAGAATAATTATAGCAGACCAAGAACATAAATATTCAGCCCTTTTTACACTCCTAGGCTCGTAGCTATGACCACAACCAATGTTTATTAAATTGAAAAAGAAAACCCCCTCTAGTTTTTTTTTTTGTGTGTGTGTGTGTGTGTCATACATTTATTCCATCAAAAACATGACTAGTCTTATTTAATACTTTTGAATTTTAATTTATAATTAAAAAAAAAACATGTAACAAGCTATACTAAACTAAAACTGTTTCTTTTTTTGTTCAAAATATTTAGTTAGAATGAGTGATAGATATTGATGGAAACCGATTCATGTCCATCTCTTAGGCCCCTCACCAGTATTGTGAAACCTTGATAGATCTAAAAGAAATCAGTTGAACTGTTGCACATTCAAATTATTAATTCATGGCTAAAGTATGTTGGACCTTACCAAAGTACTAACTAAACCTGAGGACTCAACACATCAATCGCTGTATGTCGAGGATTTTGTTTGATTAAAATCTTTGAGTTCAAGTTTCCAACAGACACAGTCAAGTTTGGGATGTTCCAGCAACATGTAAATGTAGATACACATGAAGACATACTTAATAGAGGTTTCTTTTTTCTTTTTTTCTTTTTTTTTTAAAAAAAAAAAGGAGAAAAAAAATCCTTTATATATAGTAATCATGATTTTCATGAACACAAGAGTAAGAATCTACAACATGACAAATATCCTTGAGAGTCTCCTGGAGTTTTCAAGAATTGAAGAAAGATATGCCAACAAGTTATTTCCGACAACAGCCAAGATTGCCTTGTTTTCATGAATCCAATAATCAAACCAACCATGATTGCCATATAGAGTATTCTTTCACTGCCTTGAAACTATATTTTTTTCCACCTTGACAGGCCATTTATTCAAAGTCATCAACCTGCTAGAATTTTCTCTCCAATACTCACTATCTGAAAATTTTAACTTAAATAACCAGTCTTAATCAACTTTTTCCAAGAGTCTAGGACTTGCTAATATCAAACTTTCTCTAACCCATCATAACAATTTCATTTGAGCACCCATCTCACTCAACATTGAGTACAACATGCTCCTCTTATGGTCTGAATCACTTCCCTGACAAAATTCACCACGGAAATCTCCTAACTCAATCAAGCTAGACCCAACCACCTTTTGTAAGCCCCTGTTCGTCATCATCTTTCTCACATTTTCTACTTCATCCCATCTTCCTTCTGCGGCATATATGTTTGATAACAACACATATGGACCAATATCCCCCGGTTTCAACTCGATTAGCCGCTTGGCCACGATCTCTCCAAGCTCAAGATTTGAGTGGCTCCTACAAGCCGAAAGTAAAGCTCCCCATAGAGCAGGTCCAGCGTCCATGGGCATCTTCTTGATAAGCTCTTCAGAATCCTTCATCAAACCAGCCCGGCCAAGAAGATCAACCATGCAACCATAGTGCTCAACCTTCGGCTCAATCATGTAAACACGACACATCAAGTCAAAGTACCACCAACCCTCTAAAACCATTCCTGCATGAGCGCACACACTTAAAATGCAAATAAAAGTGGCATCATTTGGCATGAGTCCTCTCTTCTCCATCTCCATGAACATTTCAAGAGCCTTCTCTCCATGCCCAAGCATCCCGTAGCCCATAATCATAGAATTCCATGACACAACATTTTTGTTGGGCATATCATCGAAGACATCTCTGGCCAAATCCATAACCCCACATTTTGCATACATTGTCAAGAGAGCAGTTGAAAGTAACACATCAGGTTCAATCTTCCTATTGTTTTTAATGTAATTATGAACCCATTTACCTCTGTCAAGCCTCCCTAAGTGTGCACAAGCAGTCAGGACACTAACAAGAGTAGCCTCATTCAGCTTAGCATCTCCTCCTTCCATCATCCTATCAAACAACCTCAAACACTTACTGTAATCCTTGGACCGCGCATAAAGAGCCAACATGGTATTCCAAGAAACTACATTTCTAAAGGGCATCTGATCAAAATACTGTCGAGCAGCTGAAAAATTTCCAATCCTAGCATACCCATCAATCAAAGAATTCCAAGAGACAACATCTCTAAAAGGCATCTTCTCAAACAACTCTTTTGCCTCCCCCATATCCCCAACTGCCACATAACCCGCAATCATAGAATTCCAACTAAAAGCATCTCTCTCAGGCATTTCATCAAAAACCCCACGTGCAACACCCACTTCCCCGTTCTTCACATACCCATCAATCATCGAATTCCAAGTCACCAAATCCGACTCGGAACTCAAATCAAACACCTTCCGTGCATCACTAATTCTTCCAAACACAGAGTACATATGAATCAACGCATTCCGAACAAACAAATCCAACTCAAACCCAAATTTCACAATCCGCGCATGAATCTTTTCCCCTTCTCGAACCGACCCAATCTCCGCACAAACCTTGGCCAAAATCGGAAATGTGTAATGGTTCGGCAAGACAAATCTCCCAACCATTTGATGACAATAGAAAGCGAAAGCCCCATGTGGGTCACTCGAATTCACCAAACTTCTAACAATGGTGTTACATACGAATGCATCAGGCTCTTCCAATCGATCAAACAGAGCAATCGCATGAGAAACCGTCGATGGCGAAGAACAGAGTTTCTTCACCACACGGCTCGAGGCAAGAGGGTGTTGAAAGAGGTTGGAGACGATGAGTTGGGTGTGGATTTGGTTGAATTGTTTCAAGGAAACACTGGAGGATTCTAAAGTGCGCAGGACGGGGTGGTTCAGCGTTAACATGCGCACTCCGAGATTGTATGGGTCAGTGAGTGTTGTGATTTCATCGTCGTGGCGATCTGACCAGAGTGTAGGTGGGGGTTTGGAGAGGTTTTTCTGGGTTTTGATGAATTTTTCGAGAGATTGTGAAGATAAGCAGAGTGTGGACTTGGTGAGTTTGAATTTAACGGCCATAGCTTTTCTCTTCGCATTTGGCGGGAAGAATATAGGCCCTACCTAGCTGTGGCGCCTTCCTCAGGTGCTAACCGTGGATCTCTCTCTCTGTATATGCAATATTTTTTTTTTTTACTCGTTAAAATTGGCTCTGTTTTAAATTATTTGTTTAGCACCAAAAATTAAAATTTAAAAATAATCATATATTTATGTTTGGTGGAAAAAAAATAAAAATAAAATTTTAAAACGACACGAGCATAACGGTTTGAAAAACTTTATAAATCTTAATGGAGTATAGTTATAAATCAACCACTTAAAATTAATTTAATTAATTATTTAACTAACTATTAAGGTATTATATGTGAATTTTTTAACATTGACATCAAAATATTTACCGTTTAAATAGATCTAATCTATAAAAAAAATTAAAAATAAAGACAAAAATTCAATTTTTTTATATAAAAGTTGTCAGGTCCATCTAGCCTCGTATTGAAATTTTTTTTTTCTTTCTTTTATATTCACTAAAAATGAAAAAAAACAAATTACCAAAACCATTGGTTCAAAGGACATAGGAAACGAAAAATTCAACAATAAAATCCTGTTTGAATCAAGAACACATTTGTGGAGAGGGAAAAAAATTGAATGAAATATAAACTAAATTATGTTCACTTTTCCCTTTCCTCTTATTTTTCCTTTCACAAATCCTTGTCCTTGATCCAAACATACAGAAGGCCAAAAAAAAAAAAAAAGGTGAAACAAAAGTTCAAATGTTAAAAACAATTAGGATTTTTACTGAAGCTAGAAACTAACAATTCTTACAAAGAAGGAAAATGAAAAACAAGACAGCCCATAATGAGGGAGCTTCAAAAGCCAAAAGCATTTTCTACATGAACACTACTTATTCACCCAACTCTGAAGCTCTAGCAAAACCACCTTCCATCCTCTTAACCTATGACATCTCTCTGAACCTGGCAATGGCCTTCTTCTGAATGAGAGTTCGATAACTGTCTCCGGCCTGCACCTCCAAGTTTGGATCCAACTTCTTCTTTTGCTGACTCCCCAGTCCAGCTCTTTTTTCCATGGCTTGTGCTTGCACGGGCTCTACCATGCCACTCCCATCCTTCCCCAACCCCTGCACATCAAATCAGAAAGGAAACAAGAAAAAAACGACACACCAAAGCAATGTCAGACTCCTGATAAAGCATTAAAAGAAACACCCACTGCTACCATTATGCCCTTTCAACCTTCAAAACCCCTTAGGTCATCTGAAACCGAATGTAACAGGTGACTGGCGAAGGCAGAGAGATGAAAGCATATATGCACAGGCTACTCATATATCACAAATCTAATGCTCCATTCATTTCAGCAGACACAACCTTTTCTACAAAATGCTTTCTGGAGAAAATGTTTTCTTATGTATGTGTTCTTGAAACCAATGAACATTCGTAAAAATGGTGGTGGTGATGGTGGTGGCAGTGGCAGAAATGGTGGTGGCAACAGCAACAGTGATGGTGATGGTGGACGAAGATATGATGGCAGTGGTAGTGTGGTGGCATTGGTAAAATTTTAGTTTGAAAAATATTTTCCACTTTGCACCCAAATTGGCTTCTTTTGCGTTGACTTTCGTCTTTTGTTGTACCAAATGCAAAAAAAATGCTTTTTGTCCAAACAAACGGAGTGTAACCAAAAAGGTAAAAAACAACCGGGCAATGTCCATTGGACTCACGGGGCAGAAGAGAGTCACCATTAACATTATAAGAGATGTTTTAATAGCTCCTATCATTAGCAAATATTCAAAACTTGAAATGCAAACTAGTGCAAGAGTGGAAAATGATACCAAGCCTTCCTGCCAGCCCATGCTGCGAAGCATCCGGTTTCCCACATTGCTCTCATCAATGGCTTTGTCTGCTGTAATCACCTCATAACTCTGTACATTAGCCTCTCCGGAACCACGCCCTCCCCCAACACCAGGTGGAAAAGGCATTGAATCAACCAAACTCCTTTTGAATGCCGAATCTCGATCTTCAAGGTTCAGGAATATGTAAAAGACGGGATTTTCTCACAAGTTACATACAAATATTGAGAAACATAAAGCAAACAATCGACCACTCGCCTCATATAACTACACTTGAGACAAACTTTTAATTTTGTCAAATGTCTCACAGCTATGCATATTCAACAGAAGTACCAAGTGCAAAGATTCTAATCGTTTCAAGCCATTTTTATTTATCCAAAAGGTGCATTAAAAAAATGATACAATGACAAAGGGTTAAGCCATTGTATTACAATTTGTTAAGTGGGCTTACTTGAATTCCCAATGCCAAGGTCAGATGCATTATCTCCAATAGAAGATGACGAACCATACAAGCTCCTCCTCTCGGCTGCACGATCCCTATAGGTAGTTTGAGGCTGTTGAGTAGACGCTGACTGCAGTGGCATCTCAGAAAACCTCCTCTTGCCGCTTCCAGCAGCCACGGGTGGTGTGTAAGAACCCAAAGCAGTTGCATCTGTTCTAAAGGGTGTCACAGTTGTGGGTGCATCGGCATGTGTTGATGAAGAACCTGCAATGTATGAACCTGCATTGTGTGAACCAGCAGGTGAAGAGGACAAAGCTCCGGCTAATGACCCAGAATAAGAAGCATCTGATTTCACCAAACCCCTTCCAGACCCTCTAATTACCCCCATTAAAGCGCCCCCTGAGCTGTTAACCACAGGCCTTGGCCTATCCTCAGCCTCCAAACTGACAGGCTGGGAAGCAATAGTGGTGGTGGGAAAAACAGAACTGGTTGTTATATTCTCCTTCACGGTCAATGCCTCTGTTTTGTACCTGCTCTTTGTGGACCCTCCAACAGAATTGGATCTGTCTTCAGCTGAAGCAGATGGGTGATTGTCATCAATTGCCACACGAGGGGCTTGCCCTTCGTGACTCCTCTGCTTCCACATTGTCAACACATTACTCATTTTCTTCTTGTTGGCCAGAATACTGCTCTTTGAAGCAAGCCTAATCTCTTTCAACCTCTCCTTTTCTTTCTTCTCCGCAGCTATCGCTGCACTGGCAGCAGCCTGAACAGCATCTGGCAACGACGTAGCCTTCTCATTTGATGTTATTGTAGCAGCCGGTGCAGAAATAACCACTTTCCGATTGTTAGAACCATCAGATGCCTTGGAAGATTCAGTTTGTTTTCCGTCTATTTTGTTGTTATTCTGATCAGTGCAGGGCACATACTGCTGAGATTGTTGATCGAAAGAATACCAAATCCCATTGTTACCATCATAATATAAACCTGCGGCACACAATAAATAAATAAATAAAAATTGAAATAAAATAAAATAAAATATTATTCATCCAGTATATTAGCATCAAAATGCATACTTTTCCTCAATTCACACAATGCATACTTTTTGTCACCAAAATATTGCATTATCATAATAATCCTTCACGTGATCATGGCATTAAAATTCATAAGGGTTATACTTCATGTTGCATGCTTGTTTACCATTGATGCATAATGAATAAGATTGTTAAATATTAGGACGCCAGGCCAGTGTGCCAGTGCAACTGCATGAGCAAAACATGTCACAAAGCTTCCCCTGCAAAATCAATGTTGATATCATAGGGCCTATGGGCCCCCAGGTGATGCAACACAATTAACATTTTCCTAAATTATGCACAAACATAAAATTCAGGATGCAGCTTTTACAGTAACAATGAGGGGGGGAAAAAACTAAAAAGCAGCTTCAACATTCAAATAAATAACCTGAATTTCCATCATAATAGAACCCAGAAGAAGCATCGTAATAATAGCCAGATGCTTCATCCCATACAAATCCAGATTGTGGAGCAGAGGCATCCTTTGGACCTGCAACCTCTCCACCACCCTGCACCTGCCCACCGGTGGACTGTTTATCATCTGGATTATATTCCTTTGGTGCCCATCCAACAGCATCATACTAAAAGGACAAAAAGTAGGGAACATATATATTCAAACAGGTTAGTCAAAGAAACGCCGCTTAATTGCATATAACCAATGCAAGAAAATAAGGAAAGCGGACCAGCCAGGTATAAATATATGTATAGAGAGAGAGAGAGAGTGTGCGAGTGCATGTGCGGGCCGATCATGAGCATTCAGAGTGCTTGCTTCGTGAGTTACCATTGCAAGGAATACTTTCCCGTAAATTATATTAAAGTTAACCATCAGCTACATTAACTCCTTCTCAAGATTAGTCCCATATTATCTTCCCTCTCTGATCCTCTAGCTGCCATTTCATTGGCAGCAACATTTATCAATGAAGAAATCCTCCCCCCTAAACTTGTGTGATCAAATACAACCAAGAACTGAACACCCAAAAATTCCGTATGATTGTATGAACTAGGCCACTATACATAGAATAAAAATAAAATAACAAATATATATGCATACCTGCTGAGAAAATGTTGCAGCCTCGATTGCAGCAGCAGCAAGACTGCTCGACTGAGATGATCCTGATGGCCCTGAGCCCGGTCCAAGAATGCTTTTTGCATATGCTACTCGCAGAATCTGCCCGTTCTTCTCTAGAGTTGTCCCGTTTGTTGCTTCAAGCGCTTTGGTAGCATCCTCAACCTGAAAAAAAAAATTAATAAATTAAGGAGCCCGAGATCTTTGAAGGGTGTTAAGTTAAGGAGCCACTTCACAAGGTAAAAGACGAGTTTTTTTTTTGTTCTTTTGGAAATGTGGTAGTGTGTTTTGGGGAATTTAAACCCTTCTGTCAGGAAGTTCTAAAATTTTGAAGAGCAACTATAGAGCTGATGATGTATACTAGTATGGTGCACCCTACTCGTTTGGTACATCTAGGATTGTAAAGGCTGTCGATTTTATTTTATTTGGTATTTGTTTCAACGTTTGGGTGGCACCCTTACTTTTATAATTAAATGTCTTACACATTTTTTTCTTTTTCTTTTTAAATTATCAAAGAGATCCCATATAGACATGAATGAATTTAGCTATCGAATAAGTACGAAGTATGCATTGATTGATGTTAGTCCCAGAATGGTTAAAATTCCAACCCAATCTCTGTTTATCATGTATTTTATTCAACACCTATAACATAATAACTACATACATACACATATTAGTGCATATCTGAGCTCAACTGAATCAACAACCAAAAATACACATACCGTATGAAAATGTACAAAAGCAAACCCCCTTGAAACATGAGTAAATTTGTCTCTCACCAGACGAAGATCCTGCAATTTTAGAACTTATAAAACTTCAAAATATTAAATTAGCACAACATTCAAGTAACAAATTCAACACATTTTACCTTAATTGGAGCATGTTTGGAAAATTCATAACGAAGCATTTCTTCATCAGCATTTTCATCCAATCCACGGACGACCAAAACATGGGTAGGACCTGACAAAATGTCAAAGTTACCAAATTGTTCCACATTACCCTAATGCACAACGGGTGAAACCATCAAAAGAACCATCAAAAAGACTAACCTGCCTCCCCTTTCTTCCAATTTGCTGTTGAATTTGATGATGCCATATCTGCGGGTGGAGCATCATCTGTTCGTGGCTCATTACACTGCTTCCAACAAGGGGATGAAAATCCACCAGCTTAGTATAATTCATAATTAATTGTTAAATAGAACTTAAGAAATATATTACCCAATACCCAAAGAGGCGAAGAAAATTGACTAACTTAATGTAAAAGTCCTGATACATTTACTTGTATATATTACAATTACAATAGCCTCTACTGCAACAAAAAACTTACTCTAAGAATCCCAATGTAGATGCACTTTTGACAATTCATAATTCAAAACTTTTTTATATTAAGCAAATTTGTATAGATGAACTAAGTTTTTATTTATATATCAACCTCTATTGTTAGAATCGCGAATCGTATGATTCGGTTCAATACCCATACAAATTGATATGATACGAAATGGTAGAAAGAATTGTAAATGGCAATGAATTGCACGTATATCGTTGAATCGATCACCGAATCATAAGAATCGCAGACTCACATGATTCTGGAAATCGCTTGTAAACCCGCAACCAGTTGGACCCGAATGGATTTCTTTGATTTCTAATTCATTTTCTTTGCTTTATTTTGCTGGAGAATGGATCAACTAGGTCTTCTAAAACCTTTCGAGTTATTATATAATAATCCCATTGTCTTTTGGTTTGCCTATTAACTCTCAAATGACAAAACCCTAGAAAAAAAATGTTTTTCTCTTTCTCTAATTACAAAGAAGTAGCTTTTGCTGTTGGGCCCTTGCACCTTCAACTTTAATTGAATCTTGAAGCTTCAATAAACTTTTTTGAGATGTCATGCTTGGACTTTGAGCTGCTATTGGTCCACAAACTCCATACAATACTGTTTGCTGTATAAGAACTGAATTGAATAGTTTATAGTTTTGCCACTTTGAGCCTTTTTATTACTTTAGTACCTCTGTTATTGCTGTCGTTGTGCTATTGGTGTTGAAATTTGGAGTTTCGAGTTTTTAATTACTCTCTTTATCAAGATTAAAGAATGGTTGACAATTTTTTTTTTTTTTAAACCTTTTATGTACGTCTAAAAATTTAGTATATTTTTGTATTTATTAAATTTTTTTTTTCTTAGAATCTATCACAAATATTTTACCGTTTAAGTACACACCTAGATTAGGTGCATCTAAAAATTAAAAAATAATAATTAAAATATGGAAAATAAAAACACTAAAAATAACATAACACAAAACAAAAAAACCAAGCAGCATTTTCATTGAGTTTAGTCCAAATATTTCGTACTTGCAAGATAAATTTAATATTTAAGTGTGTAGATAAGTTTTTTTATCTCAATTTTTAAAATGACCGAATCTTTACAATTCACGATTCAATTCGATTAGGAATTCGGTAAAAGAACATTTTGATTCACGATTTGAATCCTGATTTGACAACTAAGATATCAAGTATACATAGTGAAACATACATAGCAAATACAAACATGCATACATATATATAATATATGATTATGGCAATTTTATAAATAGAAGCATCAAAAAAAAGATATTGCCCATATTATAAAAGTTAAACTTTGATAAACTTTCACCTCCGTAAGGAGTCCTATACATCACAAATGTGTATACCCTCCACAAAAGCATTTTGACATTACAACACCACCCCATTCAAAACCACTTTCAAATGGATTGGTATAACTTTTAACTTACAGCACCACCCAACGAACTATTAGGTCTAAAGTCTCTAATATCCTCCACATCGCCTTTCTTTTGGAATCAAAGCTAAAGTCATCAATCTCGTCTTCTCTCTCACCACGCCCCAAAGAGAGCCATTATTATAACTTCAGGTCCCAGAGCATTATCCCCATTAAGCTCATAAGGACGCTAACAGATTCCTCTTCTGTGAAAGTTTTCTCTAGCCAATCCACTTCCTCGCTAGAGATACTATCATAGTCCATGCCCTCTCCAACACGTTTGCCATCTAAAACTCTAATATGCCAAACTCCACTTCGTTCCACTTATTCAGATCTCCTTTTAGAAGCTTCAAATTCTTCGCAAGGATTAAGCTCAGGCTACTGTCTACTCAATGGCCTAGCCAAGAATTTCATTCAGCAGGGTCATTCGACAAGACATCGTTAATGTTATATTTTTAGTTCTACAAAAACTATCAAAATCAATTTTCACACAACACACTATAATATCATATATTCCCAATAACAACAACAAAAATAAATCAAACAAATCAAATAACATGTAACCACGTTGAATAAACTACAATAAAATGAATCCATAAAAAAAACACACACACACACTAACAATAAAACAGGATGCAGAAAAGCCACCAAGCACAAGACCAAATATGATCCACTTTTTAGGTGCACAAAAATGATACAACTTTTTAATAAAATGATGAGAGAGAGAGAGAGAGAGAGAAACAGAGAACAGCAGGCTACATTCAGGAAAGTGCCATACAAGAGGGGTGGAAAAGAGAGCAAACCTGAAAGCAGGATGTTCGCCGTGCAAAATTGACACAACCACAGATTGTGCACATCCAATCAGACGGTACAGTGATACTTTTATGGTTAGCATGACCAGATTTTAATGCATTATCCGGTCCACCTGTCCCCCCACCAGTTGGCTTGCTACTGCAACAGACAGAATTACAAATTGCAATAAATATGGGACAGCTTAAAGCTACAGATGAACTAGTGAAACATTTAATTTTAGTTGCATATAAAAACAAAACTGGCAGTAAAAATCTCTCAAACAAAAGTTCATAATGGCAGTTAAATAAGTTAAGGTCCAAGTCTCACCTGCATTATCTAAGATAAAGAATCTTTCTAAAGAACTAAGAAAGAAGGATACAATGCCCAAAAGACAAAGTAACAACATATGACTCAAATGTGACACTGGAACTCAGTAATTGGACAAGACAAATGCAAAGTATAACATGATTCTATGTTGTTATTAAACAATATGGATCCTCTAAAAAGAAAAAATTGCCCCATTGCATACAGAAACATAAAAATTGCCCCATCTAAAATGTATATGACATACCTGTATTCGAAGAAGAGCTTCCTACCATCTACAACAAGACCGTCATCTCCAAGTTTATCCATCATTGCACATGCAGCTCCCTGTTTCACAACAATTAGCCCCCACAAGTGCCATTCATAAAACCAAACTATCAAGTATTGAAATGATATATGCTTAGTTGATACCACAGAAGGAAAATCAATAAAAGCAAATCCACGAGAGATGCCCGAATTGCGTTCTTTGATCACACGTACATGGCGAAGGGGTCCCCATTCAGCCTGTTGATGGTAAAAATAGATGAGATATTGCCAATGAGGTAAACAGCAGGCATTTACAAATGGAGTAATGACATAGATTGAGTAGAAAAGTACAAGAATTTGGTACAAATCTTCCTCAGTTGTCTTCTGTGAGAGACCCTTCACAACAACTGTAGCAGATGGAGCCTGCAAGAAAACAGCACCAACACTAAAACCCTTGAACTTAACAACAGTGAAACATTTTGTATAGAAATATCCACCATTACACAACCAAGCATACCACAGAGTAATGCTCATGTAGGCGTTCACGATCCCTTCGCTTCTCACTCCTCTCACGCCTATCATCATCATAACTGTCTTCTCGATGACTCCGACCATGACTTCGACCCCGTGGAGACCTTGACCTCGTCCGATCATCACGTCCTCGAGACCGAGAACGCTCATGCCTTCTATGTGGACTCCTGTCTCTTTCCCGGCTCAAACATCTCTTCTCACGATCTCGTTCACGAGATTCACGACTCCTCCAACTACTATCTCTCCTACTGCCTCTATCATAATCAGAATCATAACTGTGTCTGCCATAATCATAATCCCTCTCACGGCTATCGTCCCGGCTTTGATGGGAAAGACGAGATCTGTAATCAGAATCATCATACACATAATCATCACGCTCACGCCCCCCATATCTAGCAGGCTTGTCATATCCATGATCACGGTAGTTGTCAACACTGCGATAGCCATCCCGAAACTTGTCATATTCCTTAAATGTATCATTTTCATGATAATTGCTAGCTTCACGGAAAGAATCCATTTCATGATATGAATCAGCGTATGGCTTCTCATGTCGCCTAGAGTCCCTCTCAAGTGAATAATCTTCTTCATAACTTCTCCTCCTAGTTTGAGGCCATATACCAACTGCAGGTGGAGGAGGTGGATAGTCCTCCCTCTCCAGTATATCCCGATGGAAGGCATTCCTTGAGTAGATATTATCCCTTGAGAATCTTTCATCAATAAACCTCCTATCATCATATGAACCACCAACCCTGCCAAAAATACATAAGGTGGAGCCCAAGAGGAGAAAAAACTGATGACACAACAACAAAATATGAAGAACATAGAACAAAAAGGGTAGTATGAGCAAGAAAAGCACAATCATCACAAATTAATAATAGATGTATTGCTTAGTTATGAGCAATTTACACCAATACATTTCATAAAAAAAAAATATGTAAACAGACATTTTCAATAAGCTCTTTACCCATGAGCAGCTAAATTACCCTTGTAACAAGTATCAGACACCACTCACCGGAAGTTTGGCTCATGGACTGCACCATACCCTTCCAAAGCCTGTGGATTCAAGAGAATAAGCTATGTCAGCAACTAATAATGATGGTATGACGTAGGCAAATCCATTCCATATCCTCACTGTCCCACGGCTTTCTCTCATTGTTCTTTAAGGATGAGATGCCAGAGGAAAATGGACAATCACATGAGCCCTAAATCTTGTATATCATCCGATATAGGTTATTAAAAAGGAAACCACAATTACGCTGTTATTTTCCCATCCTTGCTGAAGACCATAGCGACCGGGATCCATTTCTTGCAAGACCTGAAGGCGTTACCCCCTGCAAAGCTCTTGATGATCGTTCAGAAATTTCAGGATTGCATGTTTGTAAACCTTTCCTGTAATGGATGCACAAACAGATATAGTTATACCACTGAGAACTTAGAAGCAATCCTCATAACTTGGCCTCCCCTTTTATTGGACTCCCCAAATATCAAAATCCTCCCACAAACATCCATCTTCAAACTCTCTTAACACATAAATTAAATGGTCTTGATAGCAGATACCATCAAATAATAAATCAATATATTATCTGCGTGATGAAGAGAGGTTAAACAGTTTCAATAATGTCTACTCTAGATAAATGTAAGCCAGGCACAACATTCGGAATGAACATTGTCGCACCTGAGAAAATAATAAATTATATATGAAGTGTTGTGTATATGAAATAACCATTTAAGAAAACTTGTGATACTTATTCTAATTTAGCATTAGAATTGAAATCAATAACATTTAATTATAAATGGAATTAGTAATTTTTCTTTTCTTGTAAACATTGGTCCACAAGTATTTTAAGAAATGTATAGTCATCCAATCATCGAGATTTTGAACATGTTTTGTCTACTGAGCGTAGATATCATAACGTGGCCCCCGACCACTGATCAAGCACAACGTGAACAACCCTGCACTGCTGAATAAGAAATGTTTAAAGAAGATATGTTTACTTATCAAAAAAAATTGTATATGTGATTTGTATATGATACACCAGCTGAAGAAGCATAATAATAAATATTAAATAGAATTTAGCTGCTAACATGTGAGAAGGAAGCGATACACAGCATCACAAACTCTCAACAATGGATCAAACAATTATTCCTCTCTTCTATACTCTATATCATTCCATCACACGTCTCTTGTTAAATTATTAAATTTTGAATAACAATGTGGTTGGTACTGCTGCTACAATATACAAAACACACCATTGGACCAATTGGGCACCCAATCAACCCTTTAAAAAAGACATATCCAAACCCAAAAGAAAATAGAAGAAACAAGGAAGAGAAAAAAAAGGCAAAAATATGAAAGACCTCCAAAATCAAAACCTTCAAAAATTAACTCATTACCCTGAGCAACTCTCAATAAATGGTAAAAGGGGCTAAACCATAAAACTGACCATCCATATCAGCACATCTTCTGTCCCAGTAAAAATGATGATATTATGCAATTTTTCAAACAAAAATATAACAGGCTCAAGTTGCACATCTCTAAAAGCTTCACCTTAAGACGATGTGTTCCATCATGTTCCTACACCACAAAGTGGTCCAACCAAACCTCCTAATTTATCGGGACAGAATACAACCCTGGCACTCCACCTTAAAAGCCATTCTCCCAATCCAAACAACCTTCCATAACTAAACAGGTTCGTAATTTAAAAAGTAGAACTCAGATGGTAAAAATGAAACTTTAATTGGAATCAGATCAGAACCCAAATATTTTGATTCAAAATAATTGAGATCAACCCAAAATTACATGTCCAGACGTTAGGATAATACAAGAAAAATATAATTTTTTATTGCAAAAGCCATGAATTTCTTAATTCCCTGTGATCTTCCCGCTAAAGTAACAGACCCCCAATAAAACAAAGAAAATAATCTACAATTAGAGACTATATACAAGAAGACATAAATAAACACATCGTTTTGCAATATCCTGAAACTCTACAGTAACAAAACATAAATAATTGACCACTTGCAAACGAATTATATCAACAAATAAACTACAAATTAAAAACAAAATAAACACATGTGGTTTTGCAATCTTACGCTGAAACCGCTCAATAAGAGCCTCAATGCTTCCCGATCGACACCGTGGCTCCGCCGTAAGCCGAGGAGTCGGCAAGGCCAAAACGCATAACAGAATCACAGGGATCGATGTGTGTGGTGAATCAAGGCTTGAAGAGAGAGAATTTACGAGAGGATTATAGATGAAGAAAGAGATTTGTATGGGTTGATAGGTGCAGATTGTGAAAATAGGCAGAGAGGATATGCGAAGGTTGGTCACAGAAAGAATTAGGGCATCAAGAAAGAGAGAGTTTTTCAGGTGGACTGTTACAGGAGGGAAGGTAAGATTGGGGATTTAATAAGTCCTCGTAGCTTTTAATTTTGTCAATTCAATTTTTTGAAAATTATTTTTTTGTATTTTTTAATTTTTAATTAATAATGAATCATATCATATACGTGTAGTAGTAGTGTTTTTCTCATATGGTATGTTTTGAAAATTTATTTATTCAAAAAAAATAATATCATCATATTTTTTCTATTTACATATTAAATTATACAAGTTCAATTTTAAATCCTCGTGGCTTTATAATTTTGTGAATTCAATCTCTTCAAAAAAAATTATTTTTTTGTATTTTTTGATCTTTTAATAATGAATGATGTCATACCATATATATATATATATGTATGTATATGTATAGTGTTTTTTTCTTGTTTATGTGGTATATTCTAAAAAATTATTTTTTTCAGAAAAAATCACATCATCATATTGTTTTCTATTTACATATAAAACTTTAATTCAATTTTAATTATAATAATGAATTTTATTTAAAAAATACTTATTTTCATATATATAATTATAATTTAATTATTATGATGTTCAAAAAAATTATCTTGATATACAAATAAATAAAACAGAATGTGTTTAATTACATGTATCACACAGATTAAATTAATTTTTTTACAAATAAATAAAAAATTATCGTGGGTCATGGGTCGTGGTCTCAAAATGTATTGATGAAAATCTTTTCTACTTTAGGAGTGAATGCTAAAAATGTCAGACAGATTCATAATTGTTCAAATACACCATGGGAGCCATTTTGTCTTTCATCCACGTGTTGTTTATGAGGGTGGTAGGGTAAATGAAATAATTAATTGTGACCTTGACAAAGACGCTGTTTGGGAAACCGGAAATGAGGCTAAAAAAGCCCAAAAGCAACACTGTTCACAGGTTTTCAAAAATAAATAAAATAAATAGGCTGCAGCCCGGACAGTGTAGGTTGTGCCTACACTGTCACAGCCCCAAAATGTTACATCAACGGCTAAATTACCATTTTGCCTCTTTTATATCAATTTTAAAAATTATAATTTTAGGGACAAATTTGTCATTTTAAATTCAAACATCATTTCAACACATTTTTCAATACAACAACTCAAATAAAATCTATCTCATCTTCCCAAACACAAAAACTAAAAGGAAAATGTTTGAGGGCCCGAAATGCCTGGCTCGAATGCCCCGAATGCCCAAAACGACCGTTTTTTTTTTTTCGCCGGTCGCCGATCGCGTCGCCGCGCCTCCGTCGCCGATCGCCGCCTCTGCTCGTCGCCGCGCCTCCGCCTCCGTCGCCGATCGCCGCCTCTGCTCGTCGCCGCGCCTCCGCCTCTGTAGCCGATCGCCACCTCTTCTTCCTCCGTCTTCTTCCTCTATTTTTTAGGCCCCCTCCAGTCCTTCCTCCCCCTCCTCTCCCCTCCCCCTCCTTCCCTTCTTCTTCTTCCTCTTCCTTCTCAAATTCGAGCCAAATTTGGCTCGAAACCCTTTCGGGCTCTGTAGCAGAGCTCAAACTAAAATAGCCTACTAAAATAACCAAAAAGTCAAATAGCCTACTAAAATAGACACTTCCCAAACGAGGCCAAAATGTCTATGTTTGAGTTAAGAAACCTTTATTATGACCTAGTTGGTGGAAAATGAGCAAACATAGATATGTACTATACATGGATTAGTTATAATTTAGACGTTGGGTTGAAAGCAATGTACAGTGATGCTGATGTGATGAAAATGCTCGAGGCTTATAAGGGTTTGGATTATGAAGTAGTTTATGTAGAGAAGGGTGTAGATCCTATTATGATTTTGTCATGCAATGATGAGTTGTTGTCAGATCCTAGTGGTGCAGAACAGGGTGCTAATGCCATAGGTGGTGGTGACACAAAACAGGGTGGTAATGCCATATGTGGTACTGACACAGACATTATTGATATAAACTTGTCTGATATTGACATCATAGTTGATGACATTGGGAATGACTCAGATGATAGTGCAGAGGTAGCTGAGAGTGAGAATGTGGGCAAGGGATGTGAGGGTAGTGATACATAACATGAAAAGGGGTTACAACATACTGCTGACACTGAGTCTGTAGAAGGTAACGAGGCTGATAAGAGTGACAGTGCACTGAGTGAGACTGAATTTTTGGTTGATGAAGAGAGAACTAATAGTGATGATTCTGAGGACTTGGACTATATAGTTAGTGAAGAATATAGTGATACTGAGACTTTTGAGGATAGTGCAGAGGAAAGTGATGACCAAAGTTGGTTGTATGAAGACCTAGAGGGTCCAAATGATAACATTTTTGATGAAACCTCACACAGAATAACTGAAGGACCACCACCTAAAGTTAATCTACCAGGTGATGCTGGTTGGTATTCAGATGTTGATGATGATGATGATGAATTGAATAGTCTTAAAGGGTCATCAGATGATGTTGGATACCCAGAATACAAAGAAGGGATGATGAAGGATCCCAAACTTGTAGTTTGAATGAAATTTCTCAATCCCCAAGTTTTCAGAGAGTACTTGAGGGAGTTTAATGTGGTGCATGGTTACGACATAAGGTACATCAGAAATGAGAGTGCTAGGATCACTGCTGTTTGTAGGCATGGCTGTACTTGGAGGATACAAGCCTCTCCATTTGAGGGAACCCTAACCTTTCAAATTAAAACTCTAGAGGGGAAACACACGTGTGAGAGGAATTACAGCAACAAACAAGCCAACTCTAAGTACTGGGGGAAAAAGTTTGTAGATGAGGTGAGAGATGACCCCTTCATTAACATAACCTCTTTCAAGAAAAAAATTAGAAGAGAGATAATAGTGGATGCAAGTAGGTTTCAAATATATAAGGCAATGGAGATAATTGTAGGGGATTTGGCAGAGCAATATCACAGGATTAGGGATTATACAGCTGCAGTTGTTAGGAAAAATCCAACCTCACATATTTCAATAACAACTAATCCTGAAAATACAAAGCCTACATTTGAAAGAATGTATTTCAGACTTGGTGCACAAAAAGATGGATTTCTAGCAGGGTGTAGACCAATAATAGGACTAGATGGTTGTCATTTGAAAAGGATTTTTGGTGGGCAGCTACTCTGTGTTATTGGCAGAGATGGAAATGATAACATGTCTCCTATTGCAGTGGCTTTGGTTGAGATAGAATGTAAAGCCAGGAAAAATCCAACCTCACATATTTCAATAACAACTAATCCTGAAAATACAAAGCCTACATTTGAAAGAATGTATTTCAGACTTGGTGCACAGAAAGATGGATTTCTAGCAGGGTGTAGACCAATAATAGGACTAGATGGTTGTCATTTGAAAGGGATTTTTGGTGGGTAGCTACTCTGTGTTATTGGCAGAGATGGAAATGCTAACATGTCTCCTATTGCAGTGGCTTTGGTTAAGATAGAATGTAAAGCCTCTTGGTCTTGGTTTCTTCAAGAATTGATGAGTGATATTGGGAGTGTTGAGGAGATGGGGTGGAAATTTATATCAAATAGATAGAAGGGGTTGGTTGAAACATTTGCAGAGTTATACTCTACTGCAAATCACAAATACTACTTGAGACATGTGTATAGTAACTTCAAGACAAAATACAGTAGTTGTGTGTTGAAAGACCTGTTTTGGAAAGCTGCATCAACTAGAAATGTGCATGAATTCAATTATTGGATGAAGAAGATTGAAGAAACTGATCCTAAGACTGAAAATAGGAAGACAACTATGGAGTGGTTGAGGGAGACTGACCCTACTTTGTGGGCAAGGTCACATTTTTCTTCAAGGAGCAAGCATGACATCCTTGTAAACAATTTGAGCGAGTCATTCAATTCTTACATTTTAGAAGCTAGAGAGCTACCAATAATCTCCATGTTTGAATGGATCAAAAGGAAATTGATGCAAATGATTCAAGTAAAAAAGGCTGGAATGGCAAATACAGTGGTGAAATTTGTCCTAATATTCATGACAAACTTTAGAAGTTGAAGGTAGAATCAAGAAACTGCTTTGTAACCTGGTGTGGACAATTGGAATTTGAGGTTGATCATTTTCAGAGGAAGTACATAGAGGACCTAAGTACTAGGACATGCAGTTGCAAGAGATGGGATTTGTCTGGTTTGTCTTGTAGTCATGTCATCAGTGCAATTCAAATCAATCATGAGTAGCCAGAAGCCTATGTGCATGAGTATTACAGCAAGTCTAGGCACTTGGATACTTATGCATTCACGATACACCCAGTTCCAGACATGTATGAGTATGAGGAAGGTGGCCAGAAATTAAATCCACCAGAAGCAAAGAAATTACCAGGCAGACCAAAGAAGTTATGAAACAGACAAGTAGATGAGCCAAGAAATCCACACAAGGCATCAAGGAAGAACATCAATGTCACGTGTGCTAAGTGTCTGCATAAGGGGTACAATCAGAGGTCATACAAGAACAAACGGCATCCTAAGTCCAAATTGGTAAAGGTTAGTGTATACTTATGCATTCAAATTATTAGACACATGTTGTTATTTGTTTATTGTATACTTAATTTGTTTGTTACAGCAGAGATGTATTACTGGTCAATCATCTCAACCTGTATCAACTCCTACTCTTGCTCCTACTCCATCAACAAACATCCCATCAAATGAGGTAACCAACTTTTAATGTTAACTTGTAACTTCAAGTAGGAAACTAACTGGAAATTTTTTTGCCTCAGATGTCCAGTAACATCCAAACTAGAAGAGGAGGCCAAGCAGCATCTCAGCCACCAATGAGTACTACTTCTATTGGACTGAAGATGAGGAGTACTAGGTCATCCACTCAGGTAACTCACTTGTTTATATAATGTATTTTTTAATTTTGTAACTTTTCAGTTTGTTAATTGACAATGTTGTTGCAGCCCACAAAACTACCAACCAATGGTGGAAAGACATCAAGTGGTCCTGACAAAGGACCTAAAATCACCATTGGTGGGAGGGGTAGAGGTAGAGGACCAATTAATGCATCTGCATCTACAGTCAAGGTTGGAAGAACTGGAGTGAATGCTAATGTCAGAGGGCATACTGTTTCAGTAACTTCTATACTAGAGACAATCAAAGCAAGGCGGCTGCACAAAGAACTGACAACTGGGTCAAAGTAGACTATACTTATAGTTATGATTTTTGTAATGAAACAATACTTATAGTTATGGTTTTTGCATGTAGAGTTATGTTTTGTATTTAGAGTTATGGTTTTTGTATTTGAGCTATGTTTTGTATTGAGAATTATTGTTTTTTAGAATGGTTTTCAAATGCAACAAACTTCTGTAAATGGATTGGTATTGAATAGCATTGTCAACATACTTCTGTAAATGGATTGGTATTGAATAGCATTGTGAATCATAGTTTTTTTTTTTTTTTTTTGGGGTATTGAATAGCATTGTTTGTGTTGAAAATGTTAGTTGTATATTTTGCATTGGAATGCAGTAAAAGAAATTAAGAATTTGTTGATTTTTTTTCCAATTAAACTCAGCAAGGTTGATTTTTTTCCAATTAAGAATTTGTAAGAATTTTTTTCCAGTAAAACAAATTATGAATTTGTTAGAATAATTTTCAATGTTGCAGTAAAAAAATTCATACGAAAATCATGTTGTAGTAAAAAAAAATTGAAATTATTTTCATGTTACAGTAAAAAAAAAATACAAAAATCGCAAGTTTCATAAACATAATTTCATTTCTTTCAAACATACATTAAGTACATAAAGCACCTTACAAATTCTTAAAAATTCATTTCATATTGAAAATTAATATGGTGGAAATGAAACACACAAGCAAAACCACCATCGATGTCTTCATCATCATAGTCAATGCCTCCATCTTCATCTCCATCTTCATCTCCAGCTTCATTAGTCTTCCATTAAACTGCACACCTTCCTCAACTCTTGGCTTCTCATCATCAATCTCATATCTTCCATAGATGGGAGCATCTCCAACTAGGTTGCACCAAGCCCAGAAATCACAACCCCCCAAACCCACATTTTCACAAACATAGTACAACCTACCTTTTGAAGGTTTCTCAGACTCTACTATTCTAATGGCTGTTTTTCTCCCATAACGACATTTTTTGCTCATGAACCTCAACATTTGTCCTTCTCCACCTTTAATGATTGAAAATGACATTTTTTCTGGGTAGACTACCTGCAACTCAACATATAAAGCAACGAAGCAATATAAAAAACAAGGTAAGCTTTTATGTTTAATCTTAGGGGCATTTTTGTCTTTTCATTGCGAGGGAACATCATCAGTTCATGCCCATTCACACCACTCTCGCATGCACTACACAGCCGGTTAGAATACACGGAAAAGCTAACGGTGCACATTACTCCATCAACCACAGGGGGGTTATGTGGTTATATTTGAAAGTAAGTGGGGGTAATCCGTACATGGCCTAAACCATAGGGGGAAAAAGTGAAGTTTGCCCATTATTTTATTATCTTGTAATTTATTATATATCATATAAAATTATTATATGATAATTACACTTTTATAGCACAATTCATCTACTACTATTATAAAAGTATAAAGAGTCTGTCATTTTTTTTTTACTTTTTTAAACCACTTTATTCTCTCAAATCTACTATATTTTCTAACTGTCATGAAGAGTCTTATATAAACCAACTATCTTTTATTTTTTGAGTTGAACACCCAAAAATAATATTTCTGATTCCGATAGTCCTATATAAATATAAAACAACCGTCTCCCTTCTTATGAGAAAAAAATAAAAAAATCGTCTCCCTATTTTTTACATTGATGATAATTGAATAACTAAAAATAATTACTCTTTCTTATTTATTGTGTCTATTTCTATACTGATACACATAATATTTACAATTGTCTATTATAGATCAAATCACTATAAATAATTTTAATTGAAGCTTAAAGTTATATGCATTCGTTTGAATCTAAACAGAGGAAAGCGCTTGTGGTTTTAAAATAGAGATTTGTGTTGCATCTCAAAATTTCGCAAGTTATCTTCATACAATATCTTTTGTTTAAATTATATTTTATGAAGTATAATATTTTACATGGTACTTCAATAATTAAGGTATGATATCATAATTGTAAATAATAATTACTTTTGTTGGTTTTATTTTTTAAATCTGTTTTTTAATTTTTGGTTTTTTATATTTTCTCAATTTTGGTAATTAAAGATATTGAAATTTCTTCATATTTTATATTTTAATTATACTTTTACATGAAAATCTAATATCTAGAAATCTAAATAAAATTAAAAAGTAAAATATTAGTAAAAAAAATTTACAAATTCAAACATGTACTAATTTTTATTTTTATTATTATTATTTGTTATTATTTAATATTAATGTTTTTTTAAATAATAAACAAGAAATTATTTTCTATGTGTATTTAGATTAAGCGAATCTAAATCTAAAAGTAAACTTTAAAAAATAAAAATATATGAAATTAAGTGAATATAAAAAGAAAGTAAAAGGGTTATCAAAAGAAACAATGTCAAATACAAGAAATATGAAAACTAAAAAATTCAAAACAAAAATTTGAAACAACAAAGCAAACCAAACACTATAAACTTTTTTTTTTATAATATTTCTTCACTAATCTCTAATTTTACACAAATTATTCACAAATTTCTTTCAATTTTTATGTGAATTTAATAATCTAATTAAAAAACAGTGCATACACACAAAAATGTAATACTAAACATTGGCTAACGTTTAATTATGAATAATTAACTTCTCATTGTTAACTGCATTATATTGTTACAAAAAATTTCATATATTACTTTTGTGATATCTTATATATGCTAATATCTACATATATAAATATATTAAAAATATATATAAATATAAATATCAATATGTAATGCTATATTATCATCAGATATTTTAATTTTCTAACATGTATCGCTTTAGTAATATAGTTTTATTTGTTATGAAAAATTTGCAGAATTGTGTATTGTTATTGTATCAACTTATGTTCAATACATAAATATGTACATGTCATATAAATAAATGTTCACAACAAACACTTTTAATAGCAAATCAAGACTTTGTAAAACACCTCCATTACGACAATAATTGTACTTTCTTTTCTCCTCATAGAAAAATCACATTATCACCAATAATATACAAATAATATGCAATAGTAGGTTTAATAAATTTGTATTATGAGATGAACTATTAAACATAATTGTATAATTGTGCAATTAATTTCATACTTTCAATTGTATTACAGGTACAAACACTACAAGAAAAACATACTTTAGTGGCACTACACTAGTGACATATTTTTAGAAAATGCCACAAAAAATGATATTTAGTGGCACGTTTTTGAAAAATGCCACAAAACGACAAACATAAAAGGCTCTAGTGACATTTCAATGAACAAGTGTCACAAAACTACAACAAAAACATACTTTAGTGGCACTACACTAGTGACATATTTTTAGAAAATGCCACAAAAAATGATATTTAGTGGCACCCTAGGTTATAAAAGTAAAAACCTATACTCTTATATAGCATCGAGGCCTTTTCCCGAGTGGTGAAATCCCTAGCAGAACTCCCCAGTTAAGTGTGCTTAGGCTGAAGTAGTTTTAGGATGGGTAACCCACTGGGAAGAACAAATTCGTGTGAGCGTGACCTAAATCGGACAATATTTATGACATGTGAAGGGTTTGGGCGTTACAAATGGTATTAGAGCCGACTCTCCGGAGTACTGAGTGTGGACCCCTGGCATCTCTCGGTGCATGTGGCCGGGCTTGCGAACTGGAAGGCTACTGCACGGGGACGTGCGGCCCTAAGGGGGGTGGATTGTAAGATCCCGATATCCCACATCGGGAATAGAGGGGGAGTTACTGGGCCATAAAAGTAAAAACTTGGACCCTTATATAGTATCGAGGTCTTTCCCGAGTGGTGAAATCCCTAGCAGAACTACCCAGTTAAGCGTGCTTAGGCTGGAGTAGTTCTGAGATGGGTGACCCATTGAGAAGAACAAATCCGTGCGGCGCGTGGCCCAAAGCGGACAATATCGATGATATGTGGAGGGTTGGGGCGTTATAATACATTATATCAACAATGATAGAGACTACTAATTTTGGAGCTCTAAAAAGACCACTAATGACATGACACTCAATAAAAAAAGAAAAAAAAATACAACACCAAGGCCAAAACATCAAATCATTCCTGGTGGGGCCCACTGCCACATCATTAGTGATAGCACTAATTAGTGCTCTCACTCATTTTTCTACATTATATTTCTAAAAGTAATTTACATTCACGTGTAGCGTCCAATTTGATATTGATTGATTAAAATAATTAAACATAATATTTTTTTTGTTAAGTTTTTAGAAGATAAATTGACAAATTGGTTTGGGATGTTCTAAAAAAGTGCACTTTTTAACTTATTGACTTATATGGGTTGGGTTTGGGTTAGGTTTGATGTGATGTGTTAGAGATGTAATGTGATTTAAATAAGATGATGTGACTTAAATAGGATAGTGATTTTTTGACTTTTTGTATTATTTAGGTCATGCCAAACTTGGCCAAATGATAAATAGTATGGAGTATTATTTTAAAGAAGAGTTAATTATTTAAACGTCCTATTTACAAATGTTATGGTAACTTAGGTCCTATATAAGATTTTTTAAACCAATAAGTATATTTAGTAAAACTGAAAATATTATTAGTTTTTCTCAATTTTTAAAACTAAGAATATTATCAATTTTGCATGTTCTAGATAATTATTTCACTAACCGATAAAAAAAATAGCATGAGATTAAACGTTTTTGCCCTTCTACTTATTGGTTTAATTTAACTATCTAATAAAATCGAGAACATTATTAATTTTTTCCAATTTTAGTGGCACTACACTAGTGGCATATTTTTAGAAAATGCCACAAAAAATGATATTTAGTGGCACGTTTTTGAAAAATGCCACAAAACGACAAACATAAAAGGTTCTAGTGACATTTCAATGAACAAGTGTCACAACACTACAACAAAAACATATTTTAGTGACACCATACAAGTGGCATATTCTTAAAAAATGTCACAAAAAGAATATTTTGTGGCATTTTTTAGAAAAATGTCATAGAGCCACAAATATACAAGGCTCTAGTGGCATTTTAATTTAAAAAAGTGTCACTTCACTACAACAAAAATGTTACTACAACAAATTTACACTTTAATGACACTACACTAGTAGCATGTTTTTAGAAAATGTCACAAAAATAAAAATAGGCATTAAATGTTTTAGAAAAATTCCATAGAACCACAAAACATATAAGGCTCTAGTGGCATTTTAACAAAGAAATGTC